GATTGGGTGCCGTGAGAAAGGAGGATCGGATGATAACTCCGCGGCACGGAGAGGGCGAAGCTCTCCCTCTTTCTTGTAGATGCTTGGCGGCGCCGGCGGAATTCGGGAGTGTATTGCCAAGTCAAGACGCCAGCGAGACGTGCAGGGCACACCGCTTGCAGACTCGATACGGCGATAATGAGCAGAATTTCGATGCGTGAAGGATTGAGGGTTGTTAAGCTCGTTGTCAACAAGGTGTACCCTTCATCTCACGCCTCGTCATACCATCGACCTCCCATGCTCGGTTATAGATGAAGAGTACGAGGCATACTCTCACATTATGAAAACGGGAGATCTACGATGCAGAGCATGAACCATCATTGTATGGTATCAGAAAAGATATTAGCGTTTCAATGGAAGAGTCGATGTATGATGATGTTTGTTATGTTTTCTTGTGACCGCAGATAGACACCACTTCAGTAGCGCCAAGGGTCTTCCAAGGAACCCATCATGAAAGGGGACGCAACCTTCTCGAAGATCAAAAAGCTTGCTTCTCAATCGGCCGAAACCCGCGGGCGATGACTACCCATACGTTTCCAAAGTTGCGCGGCAGGCGTGGGATATTGGACGCAGTACGAGCGGAAACTCGGACGGATGGGGACAGAGGCGCCATCACGGGGTGACGGACTTATGTTATGAAAGTCAGAGTCTACAAAGTCTTGAGAGAGAAGCGCCCGTGCGAATTTCTTCCCCGAGACCGAGGGTAGCTTTCAGAGAGTAACGGTTCACGACAGCAAATGGGAGTTTCCGAAGAATGCTCCGAGTTCGAGTGGACAGGCTACGAGGAGGAGGGGTCATGCTGTGTTTCACAGCGTCGTGGCTGGTAGACTTCCAGCCCCTCTCTTTGATAAAGAATGAGATAATACCGTTTTTGACGGAGGACCTGAATGCAAGAAACGTTTGTGGGAGCGCTTTTCTAATGCGGTGCTCGCGATCGACAGGGCAAGGGGAAGGTCGTTCCATACGGTCCAATATCCCTACAGGGCGATGGCTGTCCTTGCTGGTAGAGTTACGAATGTTTCCCATGACAGGCACCTAGCGTTTTGCTGGTCCCTTTTTTGACATGAGGGTGTGATGGAAAGACAGAAATTGAGTAGTCTGAGCGGACTTGCTAGGGAATCCGACCCGAGGTCCCCTACATGAGGTGGCTGAGTCGGAACTCACTCCGGTAAGGGGTCGTCCTTGAGAAGCATAGAGAGAAGAAGGAGGGGAAAGCGGGAACCGATGATTTACTGCTCGAATCTTATTTTCAGCAAGCGTGTGTATGTATGTGTGTGGTGTTCTTCGAAAGAGTGACGCGCAAACCAAAAGGAAAGAAAAAAAAAAGTCATCTTAACTTCTGAAAGCCGTTGGGTTTGACATTCCGACTACGTAGCTAAGTTCTCTGCCTTGGTCTCTCGAGAGGGTGTGCTGGACGGAAATTCCACAGCTTGCCGACGGGCGGGCGAGCAGCGCTACTGGGAACGAGGCGACACCGGATTCTTCGGGAGGCAAGCCTTGTTCGCTTTCGGTGTTGGGCTATCGGACGACTTCTTGTGTAACTGTTTGATCAGATAGGGAGTTTGACGGGAAATTGCCAAGATCCGCCTTTCACACCGGGATGGCGGGAGTTCGGTATGAGACGTGGGCAAGGGGCCGGGATATCTATCCGAGTCGGATGAAGCTTGTTGGAAATGTTTTGCAATTGGAAGAAATGCTGCTTGCTCACCCAGTATTTACTGCGATGGGTTAGTTTTGTTTATCTCCAAACGCCAAAAAGAGAGTTTGGCGGCTCGCCCGGTCCATTGCTTGTTTGATGGTTTCTTGTCAAGGGATCGTGGTCTACCAAAACGATAGCGGACCCGAGAGTCTTCTTCTGCTTTTGGGCTGGCTACCAGAACATCGCGGCCGCGGTGGATCGTCGGAGGCCGCGTTTTTTCGGCTGATCTAAAAGCCATGTTATCGGCCTCCGATGAATGTGAGGCCGTTACTTTTGGCTTTGGGCTCGGCTCCATGGAGCGGTCGGTGCCCTGCCGGCGCCGACATGAAGCCGTCTCTGGGACCGCACCGCGAAAACTTTGGACCGCGTTGACGATGTTTGCTGTCTCGCTTTCTTCTCATCTTCTTGCCTCGTTGAGTCTAGTGTTCAGAGGCAGTGCTTGATCTCTCGACATGGCTAGGTAATCGCCCAACCAAGCATCGTCTGAACAAGCTGCATTGATCGGGCACGTCCCGAGAGCCGAGGCAGTAAAAGGCGATACCCAATGCCGCCATGTACCTAGGGATACTGATATCCGCAAGGTAAACATACATCCAATCAGGTTTGAAACGGACAGAAATATAGTTCTGTCCTACGATAAGAACGTGTGGTCAAGACCTCTTCCTGACGCCGAGGAATTGAATCTCTCGTCTGAAGCAGACTTGGTCACTGTTTGTCAGCTGGAAAGCAAGCCGACCATCTGCAACAATTTGTTTGAAGATTCGGAGCCATAACCAATTCAGAGCAGCAACACACGATGTACCAAGCCGGGTTGTCAAGAGCCCAGACCTTGCGTTCCCTTGACCCCGAGCATACGTGTCATGCCGGGGCTACCAAACGCCAGTCAAAGCTCCAGACCCGAGGCTGCGGATCTATACAATTCACCTCATGAAGTATTACCGAAACCTTGTCATCCTGATACCGAAGGCATAAACTGCTCATGCTACGGGTATAAAGGCGCTTGGAAACCTGGTTAAGTTGCGGTTTGCCACACAATGCTTGTAGTAAGGCCATGTAAATGATTCAATGCTGCATGTTCAGCCAGCGCAAAAGAGGCAGTCTATTGCGCGGGACCTCTTTTGCGCGGGAGTCTAAGTTTGAACGCATTGAGAATAGTTGTATGAATTTCAAGGTCTCGCACTTCGCTCTATTGGAAATTTTATCCCAATCTTCAAATTTTGCTCTTGTCGGCATTAATCAAAGAGGGGGTAAGTTATGGAAAAGCCGGCCTGTACTGTAGCATTCAACTTTGGGCCGGTATAGAAGATAGATGAAAAACGCATGGGCTTTTGCACATCGAATTCGCATTCCTTGAGTCTTGATCAGGCATTTGCAAGAAGTGTATTGAAACCCCCGGTCTGGCCCTGTCTCTCGTGGATTGAGTAGGGCCACCAGTCCTGGCCGATCTGGTCATTAAAACTAGGTTTTTCATCAGGTGATAGATTATATGTCAGTTCTAGTTCATCTCTCCTGTGTTCCCTCTAGCTGCCAGCCTATGTTGACGTCTGGCACGCTAACGGTAAGAAGTTTGGAGGGATCAGTGACCTTGAATGGCAACGAGAGAGTGGTACTAAGTCGATTCCGAAACCACAGCTCTATGAATTGCATTCGATCTAGTTGAGAAGTGTATCTATCCTACATTATCTACTGTCTTCCTTTGAAGGCATTCCCTGAAAAAAGGTGAAAGGCGTCACCTGAGGACGGGAAGAAACACCTATGCCGGCTCCTTCTCGACTGAAGCTATTGTGATTTCTGCAAATCCTCGAAATTTTACTACAAAACTGCCGCAGCTAGAGATTGAAACTATGAAACGTTGACCTGGTTCTCGTCTTGCTCCAGAGACGTCGTCTTCATTAAAGTCGTTCGTGAGGGAGCATCACGGGAACGTGTGGATACTCCCGGGAGACCCACCCACACACCCCTCAGAGCATGGTGACTAAGCAAGCCATGTCTTTAACATCACAACTGAAAGGCACATTGCCGTATACAGTTGGCCTCCACGATAGGATTCGGACCTTCGCGTTTATGACATTCAGCGCGACTCGAAACCCAGCTGTCTCTGATGATAGTCACAGCAACGGACGACCATTGAATGTCACGGGATTTCTGTATGGGATTATGGATGACATCCTTTGAGAGTAAGGTAAGCTGTGGTACGCTGGACCCCTAAGGGTACGTACCGATTTCACGACCGGACCTCCGTTGGGGGTTGGGGCCCCGCCGTGGCGGCGACGGGCGAGGGGCACCGGTTCCTGGCGCCGCGCGACCGCCCTGACATGGCTTTCGCCCGTAGGGCCGCTAAACGCGACGCTACCGCCGTTTTAGTCGTCGGATCACCATTGCGGGTTCAGTTGGAGCGGGAACTTCGTACGTGCGAGTGCTACGGCAACCAGGGGCGGACGAGCCTTCGGTGCTCCCCTTTCATGACCTAAAGATAGCCAAAGGAGAGTATACCTTACACAACGAACAAGGCTAGAGAGTCAGGAGGATCTGGTGCCATGCTATGCTCATGGTTTCCCACAACACAACCCGCTCTTGTTGAGTCTCCTCCAACACTCCGGGGGTTGACTCCGGGCTTCGAGGAGTTCCGACTTCAGAGTACCGATGAACTGTTATACTGCCAACCAGTGAGGATCTGGAGTAGCAGCCCGCCAAAACCAACAGTGGTCCAAGGAAGTTTCACCCACAATATGAGGTCACATTTACTACATTGCAACAGCGAAGTAAACGTAACGTTCTAGCGTTTTGCTACTGCTGCTGGAGCTTTGGCTGAGACTCAGACGTAGACCTAGACTCACATAGGTAGTGGCGTCTGATCTGAAGACGACGGGCTGTTCTCCTTCGCCGCTCTCTCGCGAAAGGAAGAAGCGTCGCCGGGGGCGCGAACGCGTGGACCTCCCCCATCCAGATTATCCTCTAGGTAAGGTAGCCCTCTGGCTTGCACTCCCTCAATGTCCCCGGGCCCCGATCCTAGCTGAACCCACACCCAAATGCAAGGCGTTTCGCTTCCCGGCGGAGGTGCGGCGGGCAACCGGGCGGACATGCGTTCGGTTCTTCGCCTTTAACCACAAAGCGTCAACTGGCACCTACACGCCAAACGCTGTGTTTTCATTCCTGTATATAACTTCCTCTTCTCAACCGCTCTAACTATCTTCTTTCTCTCTTATCCTCATCCCATCCTTTCCTTTCCCTTCTCTTCTCCTCGCCATTGAACTTATACACAATGGCTCCTTCCGCGACTGAGAACATCGCTGCTCAGCAGCCTGTCGAGTACGACGCGGCGCGTCCCTTCGTCGGCAAGGTCGCTCTGATCACCGGCTCCGGCCGCGGTATCGGACGCGGCATTGCCGTCGAGCTCGGCAAGCGCGGCGCAAACGTCGTCGTCAACTACGCCTCCTCGGCCGGCGCCGCCGAGGAGGTCGTCGCCGAGATCCAGAAGCTCGGGTCAAAGGCCATCGCCCTCAAGGCCGACATCAGCAAGCCCGCCCAGGTCGTCGACCTCTTTGACCGCGCCGTAGCCCACTTTGGCCGCATGGACTTTGTCATCTCCAACTCCGGCAAGGAGGTCTGGTGCCCCGAGGAGGAGGTCACCGAGGAGCTCTTCCAGAACATCTTTGACCTCAACACCCGCGGCCAGTTCTTCGTCGCCCAGCAGGGCCTGAAGCACTGCGGACGCGGAGGCCGCATCCTCCTCACTTCCTCTATTGCTGCCCAGATGGGCGGTATCCCCAACCACGCCCTGTACGCCGGCTCCAAGGCCGCCGTCGAGGGCTTCACCCGCGCCTTCGCCGTCGACTGCGGTGCCAAGGGCATCACCGTCAACGCCATCGCCCCCGGCGGTGTCAAGACGGACATGTACGACGAGAACTCGTGGCACTACGTCCCCAACGGTTACAAGGGCATGCCCATCGAGATCATCGACCAGGGCCTTGCCAACATGAACCCTCTTAAGCGCGTCGGTGTCCCTGCCGACGTCGGTAAGGTCGTCGCTTCCCTCTGCCATTCTGACTGCGAGTGGATCAACGGTATGTTTTGAGAATCCATCCTTCACAAGCTGATCATCATAGACATTTTTCTAACGCCTGCCATAGGTCAAGTCATCAAGGTCACCGGTGGCGGCACATAAGTGCACCCCAAATTGAGCCTCACTGGCATCTCTATCCGTGCGGGGCTGCCTCAGTGATATTTTAATGCATTGGATCGATGGGCGAGCCGGACGCCTGCTATCCATGGGTTTGGGACTAGGTCGGTTAATATGGGGGCTAGGAGTAGGGGATTTTACATAGCACCTAGGACAGGCGTACGTAGACATGATAATACAATGCGGAGCTTGACTAGAAAACTTCCTATTGCGTTGAACGTGCATGCTCAATATCAGAATCCCATTTGACTCGCTTCTCTCGTCAATCGAATAAATGAGACTTCAGGTGATTAATCGTGTGATGGCCATTGTGATATCCATGATCTGATGGAATTGAACTTTTGTGTGCTCAGATACCATAACCTAAGAGTGAGATATCTAAACCTCCATCATCAAAGTATCTCATCCGCTCTGTCCGCCTCAGTGGCCGCTACAAGCCATCTCCGCTCGGGGGAGGGCACTTGACATCTACGGCAGAGACGGCACCCAAGCTTCACGCCGCTATCAGTCGCTGGTTTTCAATACATGCTCAACCTTCTCCCGCAACCATCGGGTTAGACTGTTCGTAAAGATCGGGAAACTTCACACAGAAAGCGGGGAGATTCGCCAGATCCTCAGTGTTCAAGTGTTCTAGACCGGCAAGGTATCGGATACTTGGAGGCCAAAGTACCTCTTGTACACGATGGGAAGGGCCGATTTGGCAAGAGAAAAAGATCAAATCCCTGTTCTGGCGTCAGCATACCAAGGATCAGGTAAGTAGACTCGATTGTGTCTTTCTGAATTTGGCATCACGATGGTCTATGAAGCCCAGGCGGCTGGTTTTACGAGTGAGAGAATTGGGTTTGGGCACGTTCGTCCACTTAGTCACCCCGCTGCCCCCTCCTCTCCCCACCAAAGCTAGATACAACGACACCGTAATCATCTCGAAACAAGGAGGATCACGGACTTTCCCAGTAGGCTTCTCACGTTTATCCAAATACACTTGTACAGGAATCCAATGGTGTAGTCGAGTGGGGGCAAAACAACGTATGCTACTGGAAGCCATAACGGTCTAAGCCGGACTGCGTGTCAGGAATGGATGAGGCGCAAGCACAGAGGATTGCTTCCGCTGACAGCCCTCTAGTGTGTGTGTGTGTATGCGAATCCGCTGTCAACGCGCTGACGCTGGCACCTGTTAGGGGTCGGGAGTGATAGCTCCCAGCCTCTAAGTAAGCTTCTTATGCGGCATTGCTGGAGCTCTACCAGGAAGCTCTGAGCTGGCTTGACAGTGGTTCGATAACGTCTCGTCAGAGTCGTACCATGCAAAGCTGACGGCGTATTTTTTCCAAAGGAAGCAAGAATCTCACCCGCTAAGACTTCCGAATCCATCCGGCATTTGCTCTCAAAATGCCACCCAATGCCATGTGCTCGTCAAGCTTTGTTGCAGAACACCTCCGTAAGAATTCTGGAACGTCAGCCACTTCCATTGTGCTACGTCAACAGGCTGCCAAACGCTGACGATAGAAGCCGGTTCAAGCCCCGGATCTCGGCAAATGGGAAGTGCGCCGTCTTGAGGCCTAATATAGCTCCACTGTTTCCCGAAGGCCGGCAGTGGGGCACCGTCCGGCACTACGGAAGCCCCGATGTCACGGTCTGGGATACTGCCGGTACGCCGGTACTGAACCGGCTTGTTACCCTTTTGGGTAATAATACGAATGCCTATGTCTCTTGCAATCCATGTCTTATGAATACGGGAATACTGAAGCAGACATGATGAAAATTCTACGAGGAGATTGCCAGCGGTCGCCCCACCTGAAGCGCACTTCCGCATCGTTAATTCCTCTTCTGCATCGCTGCCTGCTCACATGATGACAAGAGTCTCCGATCGACGCTGCACTCCAGCACAAATATGTCTGTAGGTAGCGATTGTCCCCCTTCATCCTTGTTAGAGATAGGCATTCAACGGTGCGGCAAGTCACCGTTATGCAACACCGTTTCTGTCCCACCACCGTCTTACATTCAGCTGTGCTGATTTGCTGACTAGGATACTCCTCCGTCTTGCGGTCCGCGGTGCTACTTGAAAGGCTTTCTCTAGAGTGCAATATTCGTGTCAGACAACCTGGGACCTTCAAGCCCTATGCCTCCTGGCACATACAGAGCCTGCCATCCATCGGCCACCACCACAAAATTTCCGCCTGCTAGAATTCTGGATTCTGGGGACTCGATGCATTGCGGAATCTGAGGATAATTTCCTCTACCCATCAATCATGACGTCGACTACAGCGTGTCGTCCCCCCCTGCTAATGCCATGGTACTCTGACATACAGATCGCGACCCACCTTAGCCGACCCCTGGAGATTGGTAAGATGTACCGCAAGTTACCCCAAAGATAGATTCCACCGATCGACGAGAAATCGCCGTTGTGTACGATAAAGAGTGAGTACTAGGCTCATCTACAGTGGCATTTGATGTAACGAGAAGAACTCCGATTTGAGAGTCGCTGACCTTTCAAGGATTGAAAGCAGAAGAATCAACTTTTGTGTTCAACAGACGCGCTAGAACCTGTGTCTATGGATGCCGGGAACCGACAGAAAGTTTCACCATGAATTCGGAATCGACACTAGGAAGCAATGGTTTCTTCGCCTCGGTCAATTCCGATACCAGGGTGATGACAGCGGGAAGCTACTTTGAATGCTGCCAGACGCGATGATAGCCACAAGGTTTGCTGCAAGGTAACGCCACTAGAAAATGAAAACATTGCCCTCGGAAAAGCTCGATACAAGGGCTTGCGTTCAGCCGTCGAATCGGGCGAACCATAGCCATTGGCAGTCAGCGGTATCACGCAGTGTCAGCCTCGCTACTCGCGAAACTCTCCGGTCGAGGATTCGATCACAGCATGGCTCCAATCGCGGTGGCGCGTACTTAGGGCGTCAATGGGCAAAACAGACGTGGCAGCTCTTATCTAGCAGGAAGTTTTGCCTCTGGAAGCAGGCCTCGGTGAACACCAAGACGTGGATGATCTTTTGGAGATTTCAGGCAGCCAGAACATGGCCTAGAGCTGGGCTGCTCCCTGCAAGCAAGCCACTGCTTCCAATATTGAATGCAGAGCCTCCTTTGGGATGGCAAGGCGAGTGGGTGTGATGCGGGGCAACATGGTTTGCTGTGAGTTGGTGGGGGTTGCTCGATGGCCGATTTCGCGTGGGAGACAGAGCCATACTTCTGCGTCGTGTCCATCTTGCGGGCGACAAGCCGGGCGGCGAGAGTAAGCTCGTTCCTGGGTCGGGCGAAAGAAGCCCTTGCGAAGGGCACAATAGCTACGAGAATTCGTGCATAATCAAGAGCCATGGCTTGAAAGACGTTGGTTAGCTTGCGGAGAACCTTGAAATGAATACGAAGCTGCGCAGGGTGAGACATGGTCTAGGAGGGAGAAGGGATTTGAGGTTACACAAACATCGTCCACGGGGCCAGTCTCCGCGAAACAACGTTAACAGAAGAAAGCGGATAAGCAAATCAATAAATCAGGCGGGCCTCGTATCCATAGAATCTATGACGATCGATCTGATAATGAGGAGAAACAGAGCTTACAACGATGATTCCAAAAGATAGTGTTCACTGGTAACGAAGGTGGTGAATGATCTACCGCTTGGAGCTGTTGTCGTTCAAAGAGTTGCATGAGAATCCCATCAATGTATCGCAACTGACAGTCTAAGGTGGGATTGGAAAGTCTGACAACATCTCGCCCTGTCTTGTGGGCGGTTCATCTTTGTGCCGTTGCGGGGAGGATTGAGCTGGACTCGGGACCGACCGCACACCCACGCCGGAAAATTGGCTGCGATGCAGGCCACTTGGCACCGTTCATATTCCGAATTTGAGGCTAGATGTTGATCGCGGACATCGTATCCAGGGTCTAGCATGCCACGGAAGGTAATGAGCAGCGAATGTATGCCCAGAATTCGAAAGCTAAGCCCCACTGGCGTCCTCACAACACCGACTGGGGTGCTGATAGGTTACCTTTCGAGATGTGCATCGCGGAGCATGGCAAGGCCGCGGCGACTGGCCTTTGAGATTTGTGCGACTGGCGACTACCTTTGACTCTTTGCACGTCTGGTAAGGTCATCGTGATGTGCGGCCGCGGTTTCTCGGGCGCATCCCAATTCGTGAGAATCAGAGAAGAAGATGGTGTTGCAGAGAGAACCCAACAGGCTGTCTCACATCAGTAAGACGAACGGGTCGACTGAAGGGGCCAGCTGGGCCTATGGGGCCATGAGGGTACCTTTGAAGCCGTTACTGGAAGCTGATGACGATGATGAAGGGGTGGGACTGATTGTGGTGTGGGTGGTGCGGGAGAGGAAGAGCCAAGGGGTTCTCGCAGCAAGGTTGCACACCAATTCAACTCCATCACGAAGAAGTGACGACCCAATTGCTTGTCCTGCCACTCGAATTTTCCGGCAGAGGAGGAAAGAGGTGGGGGAAACACAGCAACAGTAACCTCCATTCCTCGCCCTTACCCAAGATCACCAACGCCGGAGATCTTGATGTTTTCCACTTCGTAGGTACTCCCCAGGCACTTTACCTCTTTTGGCGAGAGATAAGGCAAGCAGGCATGACTAAGCCTTCCTCCTTGGCAAGGTCCCGGCCGTAGTCCACGACTCCACGTATCCTTGGGTTGGTCTGGACTGACGTCCGTTCTTCTTTTTCCGCATTTTGTGCCATTTCCATCCTCCAGTCTCTGCATTCCCAACGTCTTCTCGTTGCCTCTCGTCCAATCAATCTCGAACACTGTCAGCACAACTATGGCCTGATTTAATGAGAAGACTTTGCTGCAAACCTCCTCGTCCGACTCCAAGATTGGAGCCTGGCCAAACATCGCCCCCGTCCAGCAGTCATGGCATTCTGCACGCCGTTGTCCACTCTTGTAAGTACGCGTCATTACAACTACAGCCAAAGATTGGTTCCCCTTTGCATAAGACGCCCATGCCTTGCTTCCCCGCTGCATGCAAATAGTC